AGTAGGGGAGGGGGGAAATGCAGACACAATCCACCTAAAATAAGTGCTTGAACTCAGTTGGAATTCTGATACAAAAATCATGAGTAGAAGACATAGTTGCTCTATTTTAGTTATTGCTGTAATATGTAGGCTTCCTTAGCAGTTTACATATTTCCGTTAGCTCAGTGCTTTACAGAAGCGGAAGACCATTTTTGGGTTTATTGTGCATCTGGGGTATGCCATTTCTGTATATGGAAAATAGAGGACATGATGTTTCCCATTCATAGTTAATTATAAACTAGCACTGTTTAAACTACAGTATCAGCACAGTTAATATTATACCCTATCCTTGTGAATACATTTTTCCTGCTATGCTACAAATGACAATTTCATCTCTGATAAGAGGGTCAAAATATAGTGTTGGCATTGTCACTATTAGATCTAATAAGATCATTTTTTAAATTTTATTCTAATGTATTTTCTAATAAGAAAAGGCCTTTGGGGGTAAGGTAGAGAGGATGTGCTTGGTGAAAAAAGCTGCCAGTGTACAATAATATAGGGGAAGATACCAGAATTTCTCATGGTAATAGAGCATGAGTTCTTGTTATTGAGAACAGTACTCTATGGAAAACTATGAATCTTATCCAAAAGCAAATTAAATATACAGAAGTAATATCTATAAACATTTTTTGGGGGAAATTTTCTCCCTTTATTCTTTGGAATAGTCAAATCTTCACCAGAAAATATTTATTGCTTTGTCAGTAAAAGTGCAAAGTGAAATAAACAAAATCAGTCAGCAAAATCAATTAATATCTTAGGAAGGTTGTCACTATTTAAGTATGAAATGCTTGTTACCAGAAAGCAGCTGCATAGATAGGTGAATAATGTACCAAAGATCCTTTAACTTATTGAACACAAGAAACATATGCTCAACTGTGATTTCTTAGTTGCACAGTACTCTATATTATGTAAAATTGGTTTCCCAAGTTTTCTGCATGTAGATACAGAGACATCATGATAAAGAACTTCATTAACTAAGCGTTAACATAGCAAGATTTATTTTGTTCAGAGTTGCATTTGAAATAGCATCACTGCATATAGGGATAGTAAACACTTTATAATAATACTTTGTTTTCTCTAACTTTCCTCAATCAGCAAGAGAGTGAGCATTTCATAAAAAACAAAAATAATGTAGAGGCTGTTATTTTCTGAACAACTATTATGTATGGCAAACTGCACAGAATACGGGTAGTCCTCATTTACTGACTGTAATTGGGACTGGCAACTCCATCACTAAGCGATGCAGTTGTAAAGTGAAACATCAAATGACTGCACCGAACTTATGGCGTCAGTTCTGGCTATGGTTGTTAAATGCAATGTCATGTGAGTGTGACTTCCTGCTGGCTTCCCTATTGAGTTTGCTTGTTGGATAGTTCTTACTATATTTTGTTGAAAATGTCTTTTTTGAACATGATATTCAGATTGTAGGAGTAGACTATCACAGAAGAGTGTGCGGGGGGGGGGGACAAAGTGCTTTGTTTTGGCTCTGGACGTTTACATTGGCACTACCAAGTCACTTTAAAAAGTATATAAAGAAATATATTTTTCCATACCAGTTCCACAGTCCCACAAAATTCTCTCTTAACTAGACTGTGGGGAATATACTCACAGTACCTGCTGGATTATTTTTCACTGTTGTCTTCTGGAATGTTTTTTGATTCCCATACTAGTACTAATCAGGTCTGGTGCTTTTTCAAGATCAGCCAAGGTTGGCTAGGTATTGCCACCCAAACTTATTTTATGCTATTACGATGTGCTCTCAGTTTGAATAACGTAAGAATTTCTGCCTAGTTTGTAGAATATGTCTAATTACACTAAAATCAGTCTTCCATTTTTTTGGTGAGCAATGAAAGCATTGTTGATTGATTTAATCACCAGCATACAGAGATAATATTTCGTATTGAATTTGTGTTAAAATGTTTGCAATATGAGCTTTGTTTTATTTTTCAGATCTGGAGATCATAAAGGATCTGTTCTTGAAACAATGGCAACAAAATCATCGCTCCTTAAAGTAATCCTTTTAGGAGATGGAGGAGTTGGAAAGAGTTCAATTATGAACAGATATGTTACTAACAAATTTGATACCCAGTTATTCCATACAATAGGTGTAGAATTCTTAAATAAAGATCTGGAAGTGGATGGACACTTTGTCACAATGCAGATATGGGACACTGCAGGCCAGGAACGGTTTAGGAGCTTGAGGACTCCTTTCTACAGAGGTTCTGACTGTTGTCTTCTCACTTTCAGTGTAGATGATTCTCAAAGCTTTCAGAATCTGAGCAACTGGAAAAAAGAATTCATTTACTATGCAGATGTGAAAGAGCCTGAAACATTTCCTTTTGTGATACTGGGTAACAAAGTTGATATAACTGAGAGGCAAGTATCTACAGAAGAAGCCCAGCTCTGGTGCAGAAACAATGGCAACCATCCTTACTTTGAAACAAGTGCAAAAGATGCCACTAATGTTGCAGCAGCTTTTGAGGAAGCTGTTCGAAGAGTTCTTGCTGCTGATGATAGATCAGATCACTTGATTCAAACAGATACGATAAATCTTCACCGAAAGCCCAAGCCTAGTTCATCATGCTGTTGACTATTTAGCTTTATCTTTTGGTCCTATATCATTCTAACTTAACTGGGAATAATAATAGAAAATATGATTCAGTGGATGACACTCTAATATATTAAACTGTAATATTTTACTGCTTTACGTGCTGGCCAGAGGAGAGATTCTCTTCAATAAGTGACCTACTGCTAAATTAATGGTATCTGACATTTGGGAAAGGTATTAACTCAAGAATTCATTTAATTTAAACGTTATTTGAATAATAAATTATATACTAAAACTTGAAAGTTCTAGAAGCACTACTTGGGGGACTTGTTCTGAAATTCAGATGCAGAATAGAAATTTTATATGTACATGTATATTTTTGAGGTCACCAATCCATGTTTTGCTTCACTAAAACTTTTTTCATAAAGCAATACTAGTAGATAGTACATTCTTATTCATGACTACATCTTTAATCTGATTTTTTAAAAAGAAATCTAATATAAACATCTTAAGGGCTTTTGCTGTTTGCCTAGTGTCACTGAGCTACCTGTAGATTTTAAATTAGATAATAAATATGCATACATGGAGCCTGTGTGTGTTTGTCTGCCTTTATCTGCTCTTCTTGCACACCATTGGGCAGTAGATAATACCTTGATTTTTCTGTCAGAAACTTGGATTTCAGTATCTCTTAAATCTTGGCATAAGTTGTCAGTTTTTAAAGTTACATTAGCCTGACTCAGTTTTGACTGAACTTCTGTGATTAGCAGGATTTGTTGGGTTTGAGTGATAACTTAATATACTATGAATATTTCTAACAGGGCAGAAATCTTAATACAAGTATAGGAATAACGTGAACAAGACAACTTGCAAATGACATGAATACCATATAGATGAAATGTTCACTGCTCTAACTCAAAGACCTATATTTAATTCTGTTCCCAATTATGCTACCCTTACATTTCTATTTTGATACGTTTATATGCAATTACCTCATGCCAGTCTACATATTAACTGTTCCTCTTGTCTTCAGATTCTATCTGGGTAACAAGCAGGATATCTTCATGCAGTTGCAGTAGTTACAGATGTAGCCTTATGGGACTGCACCACATTATTCAATAAATTTAAGAACTGACTTTAGACTTGTTGAGAACTTCTTCTCTAGTCTTATTTACATGTACATAAAGGCAAAATAATTATTGTCTTCTGGTGACATCTCAGTGACTCAGTATGTGTTATAAAGAAGTATTTTGATCTTAAATTCATTTTGCTCTGTATAGCTATGACTGAAAATAAGGAACTCTAAGCGCAGAAGTGGGCCATATTTAAGTGATAGTACAGGAAATATACAGGGAGTCACCAGTTTAAGAATGAGTTCCATTCCCAAGGTCTGTTCTTAAGTTGAATTTATATGTAAGCCAGAACAGTATTACTGTATGATGCTGTATAAGTAGTATTGTGCAATGAACTCAAACCATTGGGTATTTAACTGGAATAATAGTATATTTAACTCAATTTTTGCTATAATAGGCTCCATTCTTAACTATGGATCATCGTTAACCTGGGCATTCTTAACCCGGGGACTACCCTGTATACAAAGGTAAATGCTAGTATAGATATTCAGAAACTGAGAGTGTATTCCAATATTATGAGTGATCTCTGCCAACACAGTAGGATTTTCCTACCTCTCTGCATTCTTATGTATGTTCCAAAGAATAGTGAAGTTAAATGGGCAGCTTAAAGAGGAGTTCCTTTCCCAATCACTGGAAACATCCTTGCTTTTCAACTTGCAGAAAATATACCAGCCTAAGACCCAAATTTAAGTTCATGCCCAGCTATAGAAGCTAATTGGGCTGGAAGCTAATGACTGATTCAAAATACCCAATCTATCGCATATAACTGCATGGATAAAATGAGAATAATATGTATGCTGATCTATCCTCCTAGAACTTACATGATATACTGTAAATCTGGAAGTATGTAACTAGTATCCATTATGTCCTTTGGAAAAGTCCAGTTTTCAGAGAATGTATATTAAATAATATTTCCATTAGATCCTACAAACATATAAATGTATAATTGCCCCTTTACATTTAAGGAGTATTTTCCAGGATGCCTGTGAAAAGTACTACATGACACGTATTAATTCAAAAATCAATGAAAGTTAAGATAGTTAAGATTTGTCTGGACTATTTGTTCAGTGAGCTGGCAATAACAGCTATGTTTGCTATTCAGATTTTCACTGAATAGATGGGTAGCCATGTAAATTTGATTATAAATAAATAATAAATTTCTCATTTGGTAAACTGTAATACATCCAAGATATATCTAACAGTTTGACAGTAGCTTAATGGATTCAAAGACTTAATGATCAATTTAGAGAACTTCACTGGACAAAATTATAGTAACATACCAAAACAATGTAATAGCATCTTTATTCCCCAGCAATTCATTTGCTATTACACCGTCCAGGGCTTTTAGGCAGTGAAACATCCTAAAATGGAAAGCTGTGTAATAGTAATTAACAGGTCTGTATTCCTAAGTACGTAAATTAATATTTAAACACAAGAGTTTGCAGTTTGCCACTTGCACTCCTTGTCACTCCTTTTGGGATAAGCTGTGCTTGTAGAAATATCACCAATACCGAATTTTAGGATTTCAGACTACTCAGTCTTAACTGAAATAAATGAAACCAGATTTCACATCTTCATTGTCTCTGTAACTATATTAACTTGACTGGATTGCTTTTAGTTTAATACATTTTGGAAAGTGACAGTGCTAAATTAAAAATCATGTATTATTTCTTCATAATATATAATGTGTCTGAAAGAGTAGAGCCAAGGAACCTAGTGACCACCGCTGCTTTACATAAAGGTATGACATTTTGCCTGAAGTCATTCTTTTACTAATAACGTATGTTAACAGAGGGAAGAGAAAGTGGTATTCAAAAAGTTGTATGTGAAAATGTGCTCTAGATCACTTCTGTAATGTCATTCATTTATTAGCTTATCTAATAATATATCAAACTAAAATCAAATTCACTTTGTTCATGATTAGAAGTACCTACAGTTTTTCATGCTCACCCCATTACTTCTTTTCAACTCACAGTTGGATATCTAATAACCCTTCATACTGTACAGTCCTGAACTGAAACTCTTCTACAATAAAACTTCACAGAAAGTGTGGGCTGTGTTATCTATCATTTTACAAAATGAGCTGCAGATGGTCCTTGAAACATACAAGACGTATATTAGCATTTATTTTGATATCTACATATATGTATATATGTATGTGTATACACACACATACAGAGTTGAAGTGATCAGCTTTCATGGAGAAACTTGGATTTCTGAAGTTTTCTTGCTTCGTTAAGCTTCTTAAACACTTTGTTGTTTCATTCAATAGTCTTTTTATGTCATGTTACAGATGGAATAAATCAACTTAAAAGATGCTTCTTCCCAAGAAACTGAACCTTTCTGTCAAATGCAGTGGATCGAATTGGAGAATTAGCTTCATAAAAAGGATTCATTGCAAACTGAAGAAAGAAATAATATAGTGAGAATGGTTTAAGAATCAAAACTTGCTTAAAGACCTGTTGAGCCACTTGATTCAATAGCACACATTTCTTTTGCTTGGAACTGCTTAGAACAGTTTGACCTGTGCTAATGTTCTAGAAATTTATAGCAGTCTACCACTTTAACTATTGATTCTGGTTTTGGATGGAAAAGTAGACACACAATGCCTTGCTACTCCTCCAGACTTATTTCTCTTTCTTAATGGAGAGTTACATACAAAATTGACCTATATTAACTATCCAACCCATCATACTGATTTTTCTTCCTGGAACTATTTTGAATGAAATGCATTCTACTTCCCTCCAGTTCATAGGTACATGCAAAAACTGCTGTTCTGGGAACAGAATATTCCAGATAATTCCACAACATTGCCTATCACTGAACAGGCAAGAGAAATACCATAAACAGTAACCTTTTTTCATAATGTAAAATGGAATTAAAGCACATAATTTACATTCTCCTTCAGCTTTGGTTCTGTTATACATCTGCATACAAGACAAGTGAATACGTTTAGCAAGATACAGCTATTTCCTAAGCCAAATTCCCATTTAATAGATAATTCCTTATATGGGTTGTGATGGATAACATTGATAATAACTTTTACCTTTATATACAGATCATAGACATCGCTAAAGAAGTTTTTGATTCCATCTTCTTGTCTTACATCATGAAGCATTATAAATCTCATATGTAGCAAAAGTTAAGAAAATAAATTTGTTTTTAAGAATTCATAATATGGAGTCTGGCTAAAGCTAGGTGCCATACAATTTAGTAGAAATCCTGTACTAAAAAGGCAGCAATGCAAAGTATTAAAAAAAAAACCTTTCTGAACAAATTTGTATGAAAAACTGAAGTGGATGCAAACAAATATATTTCAGGGAGACAGCATAAGCTATGATACCTGGGAACCAGAATCCTTCACTCAATATCACATTTAAGGCTCAGACTAAGGGACGAGAAGCAGGTACAACCAAGTGACCATTAAAAAGTTAAAAGATTCAGAGAGTAGCAGATGCTAGACCATGAGTGAAACAGCAAGTGTCTTTGAAATCTGTTAGAAAATGAGTGCAGTCTTGCCAATTAGGTCTTTAGTTGTTATAAAAATGACATTTATTTATATAAATGACATTCAAAAGTTTTTGTTTAATAACAAAACAAAGTTATAAAGATAAGTTTCTGGGAAAACAACCTAAGCTGACTTTTCTTGCCCAGGGTTTTGTTAACTATTTTTTGTTATATTAATGTTTTACTCTATTTATGATGATAGTTCTTTGCTTTTCATTTATATCAGTTCAGATAGTTTTGAATATAAATAATGCAGTAGAAGTTATAAATATCTAGAATGACTATCTGAGTTTGAAGTATATATTACTGAAAGCACATAGGCTGAAAAGGGAAAAACATGAAAAATACAGTAGGTAGTCATAGAAAATATCAGCTTGTAAATAAATTCTGTTGTATCTTCTTCCATGCATTAAGGATATGGGGAACTTGTTGGGAAGTTAGGGGTAGTAAGGAAATTCAGAGCCAGAAAGAGGAGTTCTAACCAGAGATTAATGAATACATGAATATTTAAATAAATACAACATTTGATAAGTTTTTCCTTTAATCCCTGCTCCAAATATGACTGCATCATGAAGAAGCTTTTTATGAGAAAAAAAATCACCCTATCTTACAAAGTCTAAGACAAAAGCAGGCCACTGACTTAAATAATTCTGTTGTGTGTAAGCAGAATGGATACTATCATGCATGCACATGCTATGACATCATCAACATGGTTACCTAAAATAATCAGAATATGGGTATGTTCACACAACACAGCAAACCAGAAACTAACCATCTAAACTTTAGTATGCTGCCCAAAGCTATCCCCTTGGTTGGCTTATAATTCAGTCTGTCATATGAATCCAGGAAATTGAAAATAAAACATGATTAAATGTAGTGTGCAAACACTACCCCAAGGCGCTACGCAGTGGTAACAGAAAGAAGTGTACTAGTAAATTTCCAGGTGATTTTCAGAATGGCTGTGCTTCAATAGTATGAAGACCACATCCAGCATAGAGATGGCTGGCATAGAAATGTAATAAATCTAATAAAGAAACACAGAATAAGGTGATTCAGGGTGGTTTTTTACATACTGAAGAAAGACTCTGTGCCCCTGATAAGCAATTTCTGAGTTGAACCCTTTGGAAAGAGCAGGGCACTGTATCATCTATCGAAGGAGGCCTTTTTAAAAAAAGGTAACCAGGGGGCATTGGAGGGGTGCTGTATCAGAATCAACAGATCTGTCTTCTAATTAGAGTGACCCATGCTACAACCACAGCCTTTTGGTCAGGTGGTCAGATTGTGAAATAGGAAGACAGAGACTGCTATTCTTTCTTAATGGTCTAATTATGCTTCAAATATCACCTCTTTTCTGATAAACATAAAAACATATTGTTTTTTTTCCACATGGATGTTTAGAAGACATAGTATTTGATTTCCTGAATAATGCTCCAGAATCAAGAACACTTCAGGCTAAGCTAACTCCCTGGACCAATACGAGGTGGATAGAGATATTTTCCGAGCAGGGGAATTCACCACGACGTGATATAGGCCTTGCAGAGCTTTGATTTTCTGTTAATAAGTACAGATTACTGTACTGTAATTGTAGCCTCAAAATTACTCTCCTCCTCTCCCCCTATCATACTACTAAAATACATAAAGGATGACATGCATCTTCATATGGAAAGAATGCAGTGTCTTAAATATTCAAAACAAGTTCCTGGCTTAAAAATTCTTTAATTCAGTGGGTTGCATACATTTGCACCACTTTCCTGCTCCTCTTAGGGAATAAATGATAGGCGTCCTCTTATTTGGCTGCCTTGCCGGGTTTCAAGCCAATGCTGGCTTGAAGTACTGGTCAGAAAATAGCACTGATCATACCTGTGCTAGTTGTCACCTATAAAGCCTTCATGGCATGGAACCGGGTTATCTGCAGGACTGCTTCTCCCTGGTTGTTTCCCCCCATTCCACCCGGTCAAACAGGAGGGACATGCTCAGGGTCCTCTTAATTAAAGAATGCCATCTAACTTGACCTAGGAACAGGAACACAATACTCCCCTGCTGGCCTTTTGCAAAGTGCTGAAGACCTGGATATATTTCAGAGCATGGGGGTCAAAAAGTTAGATGGCCCATGAAATATTTATTTAAAAGACTTATTCAGCTGCTCATGTAACCACAACCCTGAGCAGCCCACAAGACAATAAATACAGCAAAAAGTTCCAAACAATAACAGTAAAACTCATGGTGCCCCAGAGCAACACTCTCCAAGATATCAACATACCTTCTTACTGGGCTTCGGCTTAATCCTACTCCAACACTTGTGGAAAGAGCCAGCTCTTCCAGGCTTGCTAGAAGGCAAGGAGGTTGGAGGCTCGTTGGATCTCCAGGTGGAGAGTGTTCTACAGGGCAGGGTGCACATCCTGTCCCACTAGAGGACAACATTTAAGGGACCTGGAGGATGCCCACCCTATCTTATCTGGTGGGATGAGCAGAGGTGGTCCTGCAAGTAATGTGATCCTGTGCCATTTACAGCTTTAAATGTTATTGTTATTACTCCATTCTTAGCTGCCCAGAGTCACATTTGTGAGATGGGGGCCATTTAAATTGATTTAATAAATAAATGTTATAAAATGGATGAGAAACCCACGGACTTCCAGATACAACTTAAGTACAACTCCTAACAATTTCAGCCACCGTGGCAATGGTAAGAGATGTGGAAAACTGTTTATGAACATTTGGAAGGTCATAGGCTCCCCATCTCTATTCTAAAATGTTCTTTACTTTCTTCTTATAGCATTCCAACAAAAAAGGATATGGCCTGCAGTGACAAAGGCAGAAACAAACCATTCATTAAATTTATCCACAGTCTTCAGGTACATATTATTTGTCAGCCACATGTTTTCATCTACTAGGTCAAGAGCAGCATGAGCTATGAACTGATTCAGGTGGCGATGGTCATCCTGAGGGGGGAAAAAATAAAATTCAACTCCAAATACTGAAAAGAAGAAGCATAAAACAACTCTATCTTAGATTTTTTCTAATGCAAAATTTGTTTGCATAACATACAGTATTCAGCAACTTGCTTAAATTGTGTAAATGGAGAGTTAATAAGAAATGTAAAAAACATACTATAATACATAATTATGAAGAGGATAAATTTAGGCTAATGTAATATTAGATACTAACATATATACTTGTACCTAGTGTAGCAATTTTTTTTTTTTTTGCAATTTCTAGGAGAAAAAATATGGTGATTCTAAACATTTATACTGAATCATATTTAATGCATAAAAGTTAGTCCAATTTAGGTGGGGGAAGAGGAGGAAAGGAAGATAGAAATCGAATAAATGGCTGTGTATCAGGATAGCTAAAATTTTCAATAGCAACACATTAAAAAAAACGTTTAAGTTGCAAAATCAAACTAACAAAGAACCTGAGCAATCAGGATGTAGAATGATTCAATACTATATATTCTGCATTTGAATATGATTTCATACCTTAGATTCTACTTTACCAGCTGGTAGAAATTCCATTTCAAATACAGGATTATCATGATGGCCTACAATTACAAAATAGTAGCTTCCAGACATAATGAAAATATGGCCTCTTCTGAAAGAGAACAGAATGATGCAGTTGGAAGAGGAGTGGTTTGTAGAAAAATTTATTGCGACATATATTAAATGTTAAAGCATTTCTAACAGTACAGCTAGGTCTCTATTAGTGTAGAATTCCGTGAAGTGGTCGCATTATTCAAATTCACATTATTTTAAGTTATATTTATATGTAAAGTATGGTAACTGGTTCCAGCTAGATGGAAATAGGCAATGAAAATTTTAAACATAAGTTTTTATTTTTTTAATTAACAAAATATTATAGTAAAGAAAGAATGTACTTGTAATGTAAATTTAATGTTGTGTTTAATGCAATGTAAAGTCACAGAGTAGTTATAGAAAACAAAATAAAAATTTAAAAAATTGTACCATAGATTCAGGCATTCTGACATCTTGCCGTTTCAGAGTTGCTATGACGTTTATGTTGTTGAATCACATCAAATTTTTGCTCTAATATAATAATGAGCCTCTTCCTTTTGTCATTTTGCACACGCAAAGATAAACAAATGCAGAGAAGTAGCAGCGCCTAAAATCCTAACAGCAGCCTGCACTTGCACTAGCCTCAACTGTGCATGAACTAGCCTCACATTAACTGAATTTTGGTTTTCATTAAATCCAACCTGGTATCATTGTACAATTTGTACTAAATTGAATATCACATTATTCAAACTTGCATTAATCGCAATCCAGCTGTAGTCTATGGCTCACTCTGAAAACTTGCAAAATGACTTTCTCTTAGACCATACAGTTCATTTAACTCTAGCTGAAGTTGGAAAGTTTCCAGTCATATTTATATGATCTATCCTTCTTCCTAAATGTGAAAACACTGTTTCTTGTCTCATTGTAGTATAACTTGAAATTTTGTCCCAGATACTTGAGTAGTGCTCACTCTATGACAGTGCAATCACTAACACAAAACTATTTTCACATCTTAAATTACTACAAAATAAAACACAACATAATGATGTTTGGAATAGCTTGAAAATGATAGCTCCATATCTGGAAATTAATCACACATATTTTAATATATATTTACATTTATCATTAAATTTGCTTATTCAGAATGTTAACACAAATTCTTTTGGTCTTGAGTAAGACATTTATCTTTGTAGCTGGAATAAACAAACATTGGATCCACATAAGTAGTTTTTAAGGAGAAAAATCATTTTCGAGAAGCAGTGGCACAAATCACTGTTCCTAAAGATATAATAATACAGATTTCACCTGTTTGATAAAACAAAAAGTGATATTTTAATTAAGATGCAGTGGCAAGCTATTTTAATACTTACAGGACTATGCTAAAATCAGCAAAGAAGCTTTGAGGAACAAAAAATTTTGTTAAAGAAAGGAACAGAGTTTAACCAAATGAAGCTGATTAGATCAACACATATTCTGGCCTTACATTCTCTACTTTGTTGATAGCATTCCAACCATGGAAAGCTCTTTCCCAATCCCATATTCCAAATCTCAGATTTGGACAATCATTGTATTTCAATAAATATCAATATTAATGTTCAATAGTGTCAATGCAAGTAATGAAATATATCAGTACATTAGGAAAAATAACCCTACCCTTTTTATATTCTTGCCAGTTGAAAATTTCTATCAATTATTTTATGCAAATAATAATTATTTTTAAGAGGTATCTATTACTTTGGGTATGGGATGCACATTAACCTCACCCTTTCACCTGGCTATAATTATGCTTAAAAGTATTTTTTTTAAAAATAGTATATTTGATCAGAACAAAGCCTTCTGTGGTTTTCTAAAGAATAATCTCAGCGGAGTTTTATAGAATTGTACTATTTATTTATTTATGGAGATGGGGTAATCTGCTTCTTGGGCGCCTGACTATGCTGGATAAGAAAAGCTGATAGAAGGCAGAGATTAGAAAATGTGCATTTCAGATGATCATAATAAAAGGGGTTGAGCAGGAAAAACTGGCTACCCAGATGATGCTAACTCCAAATTCAACAGCCCCCGGCAGCAGGACACAGATAACCTAAAATACCTGAATTTTACATCTAGAGATTCCATCTGAAAGACATTCAAATAGAAGGCTTCCAGGGTTAGAAACAGCCTTATATATCACCTATTCCCTATTGAAAATTTCGACTTTTACTAGCGTGGCAGTGCTGCTGTAGTTCCCATCTATCCACTTTTACAGTCAGAAAAAAAAACAACACCTCACCCGAGGCCGTACAGTGACCCGGCTCCAAAGACGGCAGAAAAGAGAGGGAGCAAATCTTCCCTCTCGAAAAAACATCCGGCGCTGTTTGATGTCGTCAGAAGCCTGGCTCCCCCCCCCCTTAAAGCGCGAATTAGAAAATAGCCCCGCGCGTTCTCGTGAGAATTCTGGGATAGCAACGCTTCTGATCGCTGATAATAGCAATAGCAGCGGCGGCGGGATTGGAAGAGGAGGTTGAGGCGCATCGTTATTGGACGCGATTCAGTCGGGGGTGGGGCTTGAGGAGACCATTTGAGCGTTCGTTTTTTGGTGGTGGTGGATGTGCGGTTCTCTTCTCTGCAGCAGTGTCGAGTTTGGTGCGTTGTGTGTGTCTTTTCTTAGACTAGGTTCCCCCCCGTCTCTCTGATCCCCAGTGTGTACAAAATGGGGCCTGAAGTGAGTAAGGCTGTGGAGCCAGATGAATGGAGGCAGTGAGGTGGGAAGGTAGCCTGCGTAATGCGAGGTCTAGGAGCCAGCGGTGGGGCAGATATGCCGGAGGAATGAGTTCTGAATTGGGGTGAGCTTTATTATTGCTTAGTTCTTTGCAGAGCAGTGGGTGGAATGCTGCGCTGAGTATTATTATTTAAGTGGGAAGTCTGAAGCTTTCTAACCAGAGTAGTTAAAACTGCTTTTGCTAGTTTGGCTCTTTGTTTTATTTGTACATAAAATCCAAACTTTTATATGATACAAAATGGAAAGGTAACAAATGAGGGGAGACCTTTTCTAGTTCATTGCAAGGACCCAAAACAGTATAAATCTGGCAAGTAAATGAAATGCATAAAATGGGCTTATGTCTGGCAACTCTTAGTGAAAGTCTAAGCTAGCCTTCCTTTCCAAACCTGGTGTTCTACAGATGTACTGGACTTCACTTTATGTAATACCCAGCTACTGTCAAAAGCTATCGGTGTTAAAATACAACACATCTGGAGAGCATTGAGGAGGCTAAAAAGGTAAATGGCAACTGATAAACATTCCAGCTTCCTCTGGAAAGCAGTAACACTTTCCCTAAGGGAAAAATAGTTCTTTTCTATTTTTCATCTCACCATTTTATCCTGCTCTTAAATGATCAGAATACTAGACTAGATACTAAATTTAGTCAAACAGTACAGCTGACTTGATTGCTTAAATGGGTTTTATGTGATAAGGGTATTTTACTGATGATTATTTTTTTTATTGAAGCTTTCAGTGTTTCATTTATTTTCAGCTACAATTCTGTTCTTTTTAATTTTTTTTATAAAATAATATTTCCATAAGTTCAGATATAAACTGAGTTATTACAGCCATGGTTCTTTATGATCTTAACTTCCCAAAATGAAACTGCACCATTGCTTATTTGTGCAGGTCAGTTACTCAAACTAAGCATTTAAGTCTTCATGTAATGTCTTTGTGCATTTGACAAACTTAATTCTAGTCTATGAAAGCTTATGTTATAATAAATGACTGACAAGCTACAGCATTTTTTATTGTTTTGCTGCGACAGATTAGTTATTTTTCCAAACATTTAATTTTTTAAATGTTGAGAATCCAGATTTGATCATGTGGTGCTTAGTATTTTAATGGAGTCCATTTATATTGCCAGATATGTTACTGTGGAATTGGTTTATGGATATAAGTAATTACATTACTTTTTTCATGTTTTCAGATTCTGATGTCTTCAGCTGAATTTAAGGCTCTGTCACAAGATGAGCTCCGGAAACGATTATACCAGACATTTAAAAACCGGGGTGTTTTGGACACACTTAAGGTCTTTGATTAAAATTATGATAATCTGGGTCTCAATCTTGGCAAAGTCAGCTGAATGTTTGGTGAAGTTATACAAATTTAATTTAAACTTTTTTTTTTAAAGGAGCAGCTTACATCTTAATAATTAGTGGTGATGATAATATAAGTGACAGCTTACAGATGTGCACTTTGTGGTGACTTGTTGATTTACACATCTCTTAGAAGTCCTTCTTTACCAGTTGCATACACTGTTTTTCAGGCATTCTTGGGAAGGAAAAAAAAATGGAATGTAAGGTTCGTAGTTTTAACTCAGAGATATGAAGCACGTGGTCCCTTTTTGTAGCCTTTTCACCTGAATTATTAAATATTAATTGCCTGCCATTTTGAAGTAGATAGTGTGTGCAAGCTTTTGTATAAACCTAACATAGGCTTAACTCTAATACATAAATGGATATGGGCAGGGCTGGAATGCTTGGATTTTCACAGCGAGTTAGGATGTCTTAAATCCAAGCATTGCAGCCCTGCCTATATCCATGATGTGACTGTGGCAACTTTCTCATAAAGCTCTTGCTGCCCCCAAATTATTGTTTGGCTATCCATTGCCAAAAGGTTGCCCAGTCCTAATCTTTAAGTTTGGAGTAAGTTTTGATTTTTATTTATTTATATTTCAAATTTGGTCACCGCCCATCTCACTAGGAAGTGACTCTGGACGGTTTACAGTAAAAATCCAAAATAAATATTAATTAAAATACAGTAAAACTGGTATAAAAATACAATAAAAACCGTATACATACATAAATAATACCTTTATATTATTTATATTAAAATTTATTTTATCTAAGGGAGCTTTTGAAATATTCTCAGTGCAGATAAGATCAGATCAAATGTTAAGTTTAATTAGGAATGTGTGAAATGATGTTTGTAACTTAAAGTTACCTTATTAATGATATCCATCTTGTGCTTCTTTAAACTCAGTCCAAAGCCTAATCCCAAACCATAGCTTTACTGTTAATGTAAAAGATTACAAAACCTGTAACACATGACTTTAATTCAGTTTTATCTTTCCAGATTTAAAACTTCACTAGGTATAATGTATATACCCTGCTTTTTTTTCAAGAAGGAAATTCAAAACAATTAACAGTAATGAATCTTTTGTTGTTGTTTCAGACACAACTTCGAAAGCAGCTCATACATGAACTAATGAATCCAGTTTTATGTAGAGAAATTCTCCCAAAGGCTATTTCTAGTGAATGCAGTTCATTGATCATTGTTGCTTGTAACAGTTTGGTGGCAGATCACTTGCGAAGATGTGGCTATGAATATTCACTCTCTGTCTTTTACCCAGAAAGTGGATTAGAAAAGGATAAAGTAAGTACTTTCCTCTTTGAAAATGAAGAGATATTCCCTGAGCATGTCTCTGCCAATCAAGTCACAATCCTGTTGTTTCATCCTGACTTTCATGTTCCTGGTGTACAGCCAAAACAGGAGCTGAGTAGCTTTTTCTGTGTTACTTGTTACAGTTTGCCTTCTTAATTTAGCACTGGTATATTGATTACTTTCCTTTTATGTGAATATACCAAAAGAAGCTATTTTATCCTTTTTATCCACTAAACTCAGTTCATTCTGGTTTCCCAATGCTAGTTGTACAGTTCCAAACTGCTTGCCACAAGCACTACAGGTCAAAGCTGCAGTCTGCTCAGCTTTCTGTTTGAAGCATTGCTAATAGAAAGGCTTTTTTCCTTCTTGTTCCTTTCTCAGGCTCTCAGTTTAGTCAAGCATTAGACTCTTAGCATGAATTTTGTTATGGGCTCACTCTTGAATTCTATTGCTGAACACTCCTAGCAAACTCCTATTAGCTCTTCTAGTTTGCTTGTTCGGGTGCATGCCACTGAGTAAGATGTCAAAGTTTGCATTGGTTGCCAAGAATCCAAAGAGTTAAAACACAGTTTTAGCATTTTAGTTTAGTAATTAAGAACCTGGCAAGACATGTGTCCCTACAAATTCTTTAAACACTGTATAAGTGGCAGGCAATTTGTAGCATTTTATGAGCACAGGAAGCTGTTTTATACTAACAATTGGTTCATTAACTCAGTGTTATGGTAGAAGGGAGAAGTGACAATTTTTTTGCTAATTTGGAAGAAATTGCATTAAAAAAACCCCAATGATATGAGTAGCTTTAACTTTTCCATGGTTTAATTTATAGATAAATCTATGCAGTATTTGAAGAGACTTTTTCATGGGAACTGTTTAGATGTGACATGCATATATGCAGTCTAAAACAATCCAGTTCATGTGAAGGCATAGTTTTGCTGATGATACAAATAAGGGTAAAGGAGCCATGGGAGACGGTTGTAGTACTTTTACATGTTAACATGTAAAAGGCCTATACATTTTAAATTTTCTGTAGAATGGATTGTGACTCCATTGGTATTTCTGAAAAGCAGAAGTGGAGGGACAAAGTTTATGGGCTCTCTAGGAATATTAGAGAGGAAAAGCAATGAGGTTTCAAGGTGACAGAAGATCTACATTGGTACGCATGCGTTTATTTCTTACATTTTTATCGAATAACCAAAGTTCTTTGGGTGAATTGCATAGTTAAAACATTAAAAGATTTTACGCATAATGTTAAAACAATACAAAATAATCTGCAATGAATTAATAGTCCAGGAAAATATAATACCCAGTTTCTAGTGCTGACTAGGCACTAATATCAAATTGAGTATAAAACTATAGAAATGCCTGGGATAAGAGTTGTGTCCTGTCTGGCAATGAAAAAGGTTAAATGGCACTAGACATTTCTTTCTGGAGAGAGGGAAACTAGCATCTGAAGATATGGTTGAGGTACTCTATGTTCTGGCTCTTCAGTGTTTTAAAATCAGTACTGAAAGAAACCCATTTTGCCCATTTCCAGTATCCCAATCGTGCCATTTTGATTTTATTGTCCTCAGCTGTGTACAATTTAAGATATGTAGCTGATAGTTAAGAACATCTTTTTTTTTCTGTAGGAGCTTAGTATACAAGATCTTCTCCGGCTAATTAGGATCAGTCCAGCGAGTGACCTTTACAAAATGCTGGTAAAAGAATCTTACTTTTAGAAAAGTTATGTATTCAACTGTTAATAATGGACATTATTTTGAATACACGGATTTCTGTTTACAGATTTCAGATTCAACAAAAACCAGCATGAAAGGTATGACTTTTGATTGATTGATTGATTGATTTTAAACTGTTTAGTGATATGTACTTGTCCTTACAAGCTGCTCAGAGATGCTAAGGGAATGGATGTCATAAAAAACTTCCTAAGTAAATACAATTTTGGAAATG